TCTCATTGCCCGAGCTGGCCTCAGTGTGGAGGTGAGGAAAAACCTGTCGACTCAGAGTCTGGATGTGAGTTCCAAACCTGCCACTTAACTAGCTGTGTGAACTTGGAGAATTCATTCAACCCCATTGAGCCTCTGCTTCCTTGCTTGAAAACCAGGGATTATAACCTCATCTACCTCTCAGAAACCTTGCAAGTATTGCGATAACATGTGGGAAAAGTACCTTGTAAGGTGTCAAATGTGAAAAAGCACCTCTGTTTGAGTGCTCTTGCTGTGCCAGACACTTCACATACATTGTGTCATTGATGAAACCTCAAAAAAGCCTTTCAAGGCACATTCTTATCCTATTTTCCAGAGGAGGAAACTGAGAGGGATTATTGAAATTGTCCGGGTCACCCCGCTGGTAGGTAGAGGATCCAGGTGTCGACACCAGGTCCAGAGCCAGCTTACTTTCTTTTTTCTATGTGTGAAATCCAGTGTTTGCTGCAGCTCTTGTCATCCCTTCCTGTGGCCTTGTTCCCTCTCTCTGACTGTTCAAACTGCTTCTCCCTCCCAGGACCCTTTTCTATATTTCCCAGCCCCTGAACTGACTCAATGGCCCCCAGATCATAAGGCCCTTTACTTCCAGTCATGCTAAGCAGGATTTGCATCCCAGGGAGGGACTCCTCAGCATAGCCCATCTGTCCTGCACCATCTGTCCCCTGCATGGTCAGGGAAGGGGACCCTCTGGACTTTTCACATAAAAGATCTAAACCACTCACCAATGGCCGATCCACGGAGATTGTATTTTCAACTTCCCTGTGAGGAACACAGACATGTGGGTTCTCAGTGTCACCAGAAGCAAGGAGGAAGCCTGTGGAAGGTTTGCTCTGGTGCATGGTTTCTGGGTGGCCAAGCCAGGATCAGCCTCTAAAGAACCCCCAAAACTTAACACCCCTAACCCCAGAAACCAGCCCCATGTCAGCACTATCCCTAACAGCCAAGCCCAAGCAAAGCAGGTTCTTGGCGTTGCTCAGAGCCCCCCAAATACATGACCCAGCTACCTACCCATGGACCTGGTGCATCTTCCAAGGACAGAGATCAGAGTGGCAGGGGCTATGAGCTCATCTGTGGTGGCCAGGGACAGGATGTGGCTTTCCTGGCCATGCTAACCTAAAATTTCAAGCATCCCCAACACCTCCTATCCTTCCCTTTATTCTTGCTCCATATCGCCTCTCCAAATCTATCATGCTACATACATTTTTTCCTAACCATTATTGTCTCATGTTAGAATATTAAGCTCCATGAAAGCAGGGATTTCTTTCTGTTTACTTCACTACTCTATCCCTAGTGCCTAGGAGAGTGCCTGGAACATAGTAGGTGCTCAAAAAATATCTGCAGAATGGATGGATGCATGGATAGATTGAATGAATGAATGGGGCCATGTGGCCAGTGCCTCAGGATTAGCAGAAGAGGTTCAGCTGGTCAGCATATCCCAGGACCCCTGGAGGAGACATGTCTATCTGCCTCATGCCTTCAACCTCTAGAGTGGGCCATGTGAGGTTTTAGAAACAGGTGGGAAAGCTGGGCTGGCACTCACTCAGAGAGGTTCCTCTTTTCAGAGAAGACCCGGAGGATGAATTCCCCCTCCTGGTGGGGCTCGTAGGTGGAGGGCACGATGACGTACTCGCTGGGAGGGAGGCGGAAGCGCTGGGACACTTCCCGCATGTTGATGTAGGTTTTGCTCCTGGCCTTGGAGGCGTTGTACAGGAAGAAGTCCTTCTGCAGGTGCTGCTTGTTCCCGTGCATCTGAGAGACGGAAGAGCCCATGGGACTTGAGCCCCTCAAGAGGGATGCCCTCTCCTGCGACAGCTGCCTCCAAGGGTCCCTTCCCAACTCCCTGGTCACCCATGTCAGTCTCAACCTCCCTACTTCTGACTCCTAAGGCCTCAAATAGCCTCCCTACCTCACTTCCTCTTCCCTTTTTTTCCATTGCGATTCAGAGTGAATGGCAAGTGTGTCATCCCCACATTCAGGGACACTTACCAGAACAGCTGCTCCTCAGCTCCAAAGCACCTTAGGCTGGAAGCACCCCCAAGGAGGCCTAGAGGACTTGGCTGCGTTCTGAGGGAAGTGATTCCTCCATCCCAAGCGGGCAGCCACCCTCAGAACGCGTCTGTGTGACTGTGTGTGTGGCTGTGAGCGTGGAGGAGGATGAGTGTGCGAAGGCGTATGTGAGATGCGCAGAGTGTCTGGTGCGAGGGAGAAAATGCACATCCTGGTAGGGGTAGTCCCAGCTCATGCAATGCCCTGAGGCACCTGCTCTGCAGTGGAAATAATGTGGGCAAGGCCCTCTCCTGTCATAGTCCTGCCCACAAACCCCACCAGGAAGCTTCTCGACGAGCCACAGACAGACTCGGGCCCCCCTGGGTAGTGCTGCACACAACTGCTGGCTGCTGCTGCTGCTATACCTCTTTGGGAACCTTGAGGAGAAAGAGAAAAGAAAACGCTTCAGATATGAATGAGGATGAGGAGCTTGCAGAAGGGAATGCCAGCAACTGCAGCGTGCATACGGAAGCCTGACCCCCAGGTACCCGTCCTGCCAATCCCACTTCACTGCCACTCCAATGCCCACCTGATATTTTCTGCTTGCTACAAACACAAGTGGGCCTGATACCAGCAGCTCTGGGGGTCACTGAGTATTGAGGAAGCCAGAGGACCCCTCGAGAAGCCCCTGGAAGTGTCCTCGCCAGGAAAGTGTATTTACTGGGCTGGAGCCGATCAGGACTGCACACCTCATAGATGGCGAAGCCGATGGTGAAGAGGTTGGCTCCCAGCTTTCGGTCCTTCCGCCGGTTCTTCTGCATCAGGGCCACCAGGAAGCTGCAGATCACCTCTGAGTCATCAGGGTCATCATCCTCCTCCAGGAGCTTCAGACGGTACTGAGGGTTGGTCCAGAAAGTATCTGCACCCCCAGAAAGGAAACACACAGTCAGAGCTGCCTCTCAGAGAAAGGGCAGGAAGGAGATGAGACAGAGGGAACCTATTTATTGCTATCCCCTTCATCTAGTAGGTGTTTAGAACACCAACAGAAAACATGATTCAGGCATTTGTCTAATTATTTGGCAGGGCGGGGGGCTACCTCTATACAGATGGAGCTATACTGATTGGATGTGTGGCTCTTCCTTCCTCTCTGAACTTTCATTCAGTCTTTGCTGATGATTTTTTCCTTACCTGCCCCTTAAATGCTATTGGTATCTGAAATCTGGTCCTGGGCCTCTTCTCTCACCTTGCCCTTCTTACCTCCCTAGGCAATCTTTCTTACTTTGCCCCCTACATGCTCATGATGCCTGAGCTATTATATCCCAGGCTCAATCTGTCTCACTTTTTTTTTTTTTTTTTTTTTTTTAAGTGAGTCTGGCTCTGTCACCCAGGCTGGAGTGCAGTGGGGTGATCTCAGCTCACTGCAACCTCTGCCTCCTGGGTTCAAGCGATTCTCCTGCTTCAGCCTCCCAAGTAGTTGGTATTACAGCACTAGTCACCATGTATTTTTGTATTTTTAGCAGAGATGGGGTTTCACCGTGTTAGCCAAGCTGGTCTTGAACTCCTGACCGCAAGTGATTCACCTGCCTCAGTCTCCCAAAGTGCTGGGATTACAGGCATGAGCCACCACGCCTGGCCTCTTCTTTCCTTTATTCCTGAAATATTTTTAGTTCTAATATGTGCAATCTAATATGCATATTCAGTTCTCTATTACACATCTTCACAGGAACCTCAAACTTTTCATGTCCCAAGCAAAATTCCTTTCCCTATAACCCCACAATGAACTCCCCCCAAAATAACACGCTGATCTTTTTCTTGTGTGTGTTTTTTTTTTCTTCTGAGGCAGAGTCTTGCTCAGTCACCCAGGCAGGAGTGCAGTGGTGCGACAATGGCTCATTGCAGCCTCAGTCTCCTGAACTCTAGCAATCCTCCAGCCTAATTTTTAATTATTTTGTAAAGATGAGGTCTCACTATATTGCCTATGCTGGCCTTGAACTCCTGGGCTCAGGCGATCCTCCTGCTTCTTTCTCCCAAAGTGCTGGGATTATAGGTGTGAGCTGCCCACTCGGCCTTCTTGTGTTCTTATGTTGCAATATTGTCAGGTCCTCAAACTGGGAATCTTGACATCATTCTTTATTCTTTCTTCCCTACATCACCCAACATGCTTTCCCTAAGTCTACTCTGTCCCCTTCATCTCTGCTGCTGCTGACTCGGTCCAGGCTTTCATCTTTTCTGACTTGAACTATTGCATCAACTGCTAACTTGGTTCTCCGCTACTACCCTCGCTGTTACTGACACAGTACACACAGTCCCCAACTTAGGATGGTTTGGCTACAGTTTTTTAACTTTATAATGTGAAAGTGTTGCACATTCAGTAGAAACTGGATTTCAAGTACTCGGACAACCATTCTGTTTTTTACTTTTAGTATAGTATTAAATAAGTTACGTGAGATAATCAACACTTTATTATAAAATAAGCTTTGTGTTAGATGATTTTTCCCAACTTAAGGCTAAGGCCAGTGTTCCAAGCATGTTTAAGGTGGGCCAGGCTAAGCTATGACATTTGGTGGGTTAGGCATATTAAACGCACTTTCGACTTATGGTATTTTCAACTGCTGATGGCCTGTCTGGACATAACCTCATTGTAAGTCAAGCAGCATCTGCACTGTTCCCACAGTTCCCTACTTCAAAGTCGCTACCAGCTCCCTGTTGTAAACTTCTCAACATAGTGGTTTCCTTCTTGGTAAAATAGGGAGGGTTTAATAAGACAGTGGGCATCTGGAACAGAAACTCAATAAGTGCTAGTTAGGCTTCTTCTGCCTGGAACTTGTTCTGCTCCGACCCTCCCCGCATCAGCAACATCTCCCACCTGGGAAGTTGCGGCAGCCTCCAGCGGAGCAGCCCCGTACCCAGCGGCCCTCGTTCACAGACACTGTCCAGGTCTGAAGCTTATCAGACTCCAGAGCGTCGGCCGTGAGGTTGCAGATCTCCAGCTTTGTGAAATGATAGATGAAATCCTCATAGGACATCCTGAGAAGTTGGAAGAAGAGAGAGACCCATATGGGAGCAAGTGAGGAGGGCTGGGAATGGAAGATCCCAGGGCTAACACAGCACAGTAATAAAATAATTCACAGGAACTTGGTCAGGGTCCCAGAAGAGCCTGTCTTTCCTTTTTAGGGCAAACTCTGGCACTTCTGATTTATCTACTCCAAACCATCATCTTTTCTAACAATGATTCAAAAATGAGCCAGTCCCACAAAGACATGTTCTCCCTCATACGATAGCACTAAAAAAAAGTGGATGTCATGGAAGCAGGGTGATGGTGGTTACCAGAGGCTGGGAAGGGAAGGAGGGGGAGGATGAAAGAGGGTGGCTAATGGGTACAAAAATACAGTTAGATAGAAGAAATAAGTTCTAGTGTTCAGCCGGGCACTGTGGCTCACGCCTGTAATCCCAACTCTTTGGGAGGCCAAGGCAGGCAGATCACCTGAAGCTAGGAGTTCAAGACCAGCCTGGCCAACATGGTGAAACCCCTTCTCTACTAAAAATACAAAAATTAGCTGGGTGTCATGGCGGGCGCCTGCTCAGTTACTCAGGAGGCTGAGGCAGGAGAATTGCTTGAACCCAGGAGGCAGAGATTGCTGGGAGCTGAGATGGCTCCACTGCACTCCAGCCTAGGTGACAGAGTGAGACTCCATCTCAAAAAAAGGAAAAAAGCTCTAGTGCTCAATAGCACAGTAAGGCAAACACAGCTAAACAAGAATTTATAGTATAGTGTGTATATATATATACACATGTATATTTTTTTCTTTTGAGATGGAGTCTCACTCTTGCCCAGGCTGGAGTGCAGTGGCATGATCTTGGCTCACTGCAACCTCTGCCTCCTGAGGTCAAGGGATTCTCCTGCCTCAGCCACCTGAGTAGCTGGGATTACAGGTGCATGCCACTGCATCTAATTTTTATATTTTTGTAGAGACAGGGTTTCACCATGTTGACCAGGCTGGTCTTGAATTCTGACCTTAAGTGATCTGCCTGCCTCAGCCTCCCAAAGGACTGAGATTACAGGCATGAGCTACTATGCCCAGTCTATAGTATCTTTCAAAATAGCTAGAGGAGAAGAATTGTAATGTTTCCAACACAAAGAAAAGATACATATTTGAGATGATGGTGTCCCAATTACCCTGATTTAATCATTACACATTGTATATGTGTATCAAAATACTGTATGTACCCCCAAAATATATATAGTTATGATATATCCTTAAAAAATAGAAGGACAGTTGTGGTGGCTTACACCTGTAATCCCAGCACCTTTTTTTAAAGACAGGGTCTTACTCTGTTACCCAGGATAGACTCCAGTGGTGCAGTCATAGTTCACTGTGGCCTCAACCTCCTGGGCTCAAGTGACCCCCTGATTCAGCCTCCCAAGTAGCTGGGACTAAAGGCACACGTCACCACACCTGGCTAATTTTTAAATTTTTTGTAGAGTTGTGGTCCCATATGTTGCCCAGGCCCACATATCTGCATTTTGGGAGGTCAAGGTGGGAGGAATGCTTGAGCCTAGGAGTTTGAGATCAGCCTGTGCAATATGCGAGGCCTGTCTCTATTTTAAATAAATTTAAAAAGTAATAAAAACACAAAAAACCTTTTCATTGACATTATACCAAGACAACATTTTTTTTTTTTTTTTTCCTAAGACAGAGTATCGCCCTGTTGTCCAGGCTGGAGTGCAGTGGCGCAATCTGGGCTTACTGCAACCACTGCTTCCCGGGTCTCAAACTCCTGACCTCAAGTGATCCAGCCACCATGGCCTCCTAAAGTTTAAGACAGCATACTTCACGTCTGCCACAGTGTCTGTTGACAGAAAAATCCTTATTTTCCCAAAAGGAACTAAGAAAAAGAGAACAATGTTTTTTTCCTAACATATTGGCCACAAATCATGGTTCTCATTTTCTTTATTTTTATCTTTTAGATATGGGGGTCTCATGATGTTTCTCAGGCTAGACTTGAACTCCTGGGGTGGGCTCAAGTGATCCTCCCACCTCAGCCTCCCAAGCAGCTGGGACTATGGCATGTGTCACCACTCCCAATTTGCATCTTATTTTCTAAGTGACTGCCCTTGGTGTCTCTACTGCTTAAGCTTTATTATCATCATTGATTTGGAAAACTCACATTTGCTTGTAATGAGAAAAGCTCTGCTACAAATTTACCTGTTGGTTTAGGTCCAAACTTATACTCTACATATACGTCTCAAGCTGAAAAACATGAAGGAATCTGAAGACAAGGAAACTAAAAGACTCAAACTTTCATGAGGCTTTGCTTTCACATTGTATGAGGAATGTGATTTACAAACCTAACACAACTCTCTTAACAAATACACCTAAAAGCTTTCTGTACCTCTTATCTATTGTAATTGGAATAAAAATAACATGGCTCTAAAAAATAGGAAACAAATAAAACCCATTTTCATTTTTTGTTCCTATCCACTCATTCTTCATTTACTTATTTTTCCTTTTTAAAAAACTATAGTATAACTTATGAATATTAAAGTGCAGACATCTTTAAAAAATGACTCAAACTCATGTATCTTGATGGGAGGGCTCAAAAGAAATTCAGTTCTTCAAAAGGTTACTGTGTGTCCCACCACTGTGCACCAGGAGCTCTGCTAGGCACATGGAAAAGAGATACTGTTTGGGAAACAACAGACAATTAAGCAGACAATTTTAAGGGTGATGAGCATCATAAGTTAATCCCAGTCCTGGGTTAACACAGGGGGTGTCTCTTTAAGCAGAGACCTGAAGATTCTTCTCAAGCTAAGACTTGAAGCCTGAGTAGAAACAACTTGAGTGAGGGTAAGGTTGGTGCTGGGAGATCAGGGGAAGTAGAGCTTCCTAGGCTCAGAAAAAATTGTGCTAAGGCCATGGTGCATGTGGCTGGAATAGAGTGTGTGGTGGAGGAGTACAGGGGAGGCAAGAGACATGTCATGTTGGCCTGGTCCTGGGCTCAGTTGTCCCTGTGGTCTGGAGGGCTCCTCTCAGAACCTCATCCTTGCTGGGCCTTGGGCTGGGGGAGGAGAACAGGGCCCAGATTTCCCAAGGGCTGGAATCTGATAACCTCATCTGGGGATTGAGGTCTGAGATTTCCCCTCTCTTCCCCATCCCTTACCCTTCTGGGTCTTCTTGGGTTCCGGACTCACCAGAACTCTCCATCCTCAGTGACCTGGTGCTGCAGATGGGCCTTCTCATCTTTGTCCACAAAGCTCCAGTCCTTCCAACTGGGGGAAAAATGGAGGAAATAAGGAAGAGGCAAGAAGAGAAGGCCTGATGTAGGTTGGGACAGGAGGTATCAGAGAAATACGAAGAGTTGCAGCCACTGTGAACCACCAAACTGCTGATCTGATCTGTTACCCTCAGCATGAAACCCAACAGCAGTGACTTCTCACATCCTCAAGACTGAACATAAACTCCTTAAATGGGCTGGTGAGGGCTTGACCCTTCTCATCACACTTTAAAGGTTAAGAATTGGGTTCTGGGCCAGGTGCAGTGGCTCATGCCTATAATCCCAGCACTTTGGGAGGCTGAGGTGAGCTGATCATGAGGTTAGGAGTTTGAGACTAGCCTGCCCAATATAGTGAAACCCTATTTGTATTAAAAATATGAAAATTAGCTGGGCGTGGTTGCATGCATCTGTAGTCCCAGTTACTTGGGAGGCTAAGGCAGAAGAATCACCAGAACCCGGGAGGCAGAGATTGCAGTGAGCCGAGATCACGCCACTGCACTCCAGCCTGGGTGGCAGAGGGAGACTCCATCTTAAAAAAAAAGAAAAAGAATTTGTTTCTGGACGTAGACAAACTGGGGTATCTGTTTAATAATAGTGCTAGTTGTGCAACCTTGGGCAGGTCACTTAACCTCTGTCAGACTCTGCTTCCTCAACTGCAAAAGGGAAATGATTATGTCACCTGTTCACAAGTCTGGGATGGGCAGATGAAATAATGCATGCAAAGCTGTTAGCATAGTGCCTGTCATATAATAAGAAACTGAGTTACTAAGAAAAAAGGCCAAGCCTGTAAACATCTCCTTCCCTGTTTCAGGAAACAGCCCAGCATTGTATTTCTAAACACTGGGCAGTTTTCACACACACACTCTCCTCATGATGGAGGCAATAATGTGCATCTGTGTTTCAGGCTCACTGAGGAGAATTCAACTAAACTGGATGGTCCCTGGAAAGGTAAGGGGCTGAGGAAGTGCTTGGAGTCAAAGAGCACCACAGGAACACGGACATTCCCGAGACCAGGAGGAGGGACACATCAGAGGAAAGCTCCTTGAGTGAACATGGGTGGGTCCACTTGTCAGCAGCCCCTGTGAGGGAAGCGTCATGGAAAGCAGGACAGGGCTGCCCACCAAGCTCTGAGGCTGGAGAACACAGCAAGGTTCCCTGCGGGTGACTTGGGCAAACAGAGTGGACAATTGAGGAGTCACCAAGGGCCTTCCCAGAGCCGAGAGCACAGTTCCACTGTCACTCCCTCCAGGCAACCTTTCTCTACGCTTCCTCTCCCACCCAAACTAGGTGTGGAGACCCTCTCTTTGTGATCCTTACTGTGACATTGATCTCAGTTATTAGTGTGTGTTTGCCTGTCCTTCCCTGGGCCTTAAACCCACAGGCGCAGGGCCCAATGTGTCTGTTCATTTCTACATTCCCAGTCAGTAGTCTAGGGCCTGGCAGAAATCAGCACTGAGGAAGTAAGCATTTGTAGCATGGATAAGTGAATGACTGTAGGAGGCAGTCAGGGCATGAGGATCAGACCCTTATCACAGTGTATCGAGGGAGGCTATGGGTTCACAGAATATCCCCAGTGCCTTGACATGTGCCTCCTATGTAGTAGGCACCCAAGAAACATTTGCTAAATGAATGACTGAACAAACCAGTAATTACATGCTGAGCTAAGAGGTATGCAGCGGTACATAAGCACAGGAGCTGAAGGGCCCAGGCTTCCTGGTTGCAGTCATTCTCCACTACTGAGTCCTACTATCCCCTCTGGAAATAAAACAGGAGCTCATGGGCTCATTCAGTAATGAAATGCCTCTCATTCAGTAGAGGTAATTAGGAACCAGTGGGACCATGGAGGTTTTGCAAATGTGCTGGAGCCTTCATAATAACTTCCCATGTGTATTATTTTTGTTGCCCCCAGTCTATTCCTTTCAGTGACAAGCAGTAAAATTCTTTCACACAGCCCTTGCACCTTAATATGGGGTCAGCACGGGTAAGGAAATCTTGGTAATAGCTCAGCACTTTCCAAAAACAGTCCCATTTGCTCCTCATATGAGCCCACAAGGTAAGTGCTAATAATACCATTCCCATTTCACAGGTAAGGCAGGAAAGACTGCAAGAAGGGAAGTCACTTGTCCAGCTCAGACCCCTGCATTCATATTCTTTTCCTGTGGGGATCTTCTCCATGCTTTCTGGAATCCTTCCTTTCCAGCCAATGGCTGTCATCAACCTCTCTGGGTCCCCACACCCCACTTCCACTCCCGGCCCTTCCCTGGAGCCAACACCTGTACCCCTCTTCTCTGCGGATCATTGGTTTTGAGGGCGATTTTGTACCAAGCATCTTCAATACTCTCATGGCTCAGTTCCCAACATAGCCTTGTCCTGGGCCCTGTTCCCTGCTACTGCCCATCCCATGGGGTCCCCTCACCTACCCATCACTCCAAGCGCCGTTCCACTCCACCTGGCCCCAGGGGTTCCGCAGCCGCACCAGCTTCACTTTCTCACCTTTGAATAGGACCTTAAACACAGAGAAAGCGCTCTCATGCCCTGCAGCCTGTCTGGAAAGGGAATCTTCTGTCTTGCCTTGAGGGATGGGATGGGGCTGGGGGCCGAATCCCTTATGGGAGGATGTTCTGCCTGGTTCTGGCCAAAGAGACTAATCAGAAGTGTGCTGGGGAATGGCAGGGGGTGAGGTCATACCTTTCCTCCTGAGTCTGCCTGAATTAGAGCTTGGCCATCTCCTCTCTAAGAGGCAGTTTCTCAGAGAACATCCTAGCCATTATGAGCTTGCAGGGGGGTGGGGAGGGAGGAGCATGTACAGTAGGGTCGCTAGCACATTAGGTATCTTTGTATAAATTAGAAAAAAGGCCCCTGCTGACTGAGGAACTACAAACAAGCAGACTCTCTCCAGTCTGCTAATGCAGACAACTGCCCCTCTCGGCCCATCCCTCTGTACAGGGCACAACCTGCCGAACTGTGTGCAACGGGCCTGACAATGTTCCCATCTCTGACGTGACTCAGGAAAGCCCAGAAGTCCCAGAAGGAGCAAAACAGAACCGTCAGTCTCTCATATGCATGGCTTCAGCATACAACCAATTGTGGATCAAAAATATTTGAAAAAACAAAAAATAATAAAATAATAGTAATACCAAAAAACCCCAATGCTGTGTAACAACTATTTACATTGTGTTAGGTATCATAAATAATCCAGGGATGACTTAAAATATATGGGAGGATGTGTGTACGTTATATGCAAATACTACTCCATTTTCCAGAAGGAACTTGAGCACCTGCAGATTTTGTTACTGTTGGGGGTTCTGGAACCAATCCCTGTGGCTACCCAGAGACAACTGTAGCTATCTGAACATGAGAGAACAAGAATCTCAAGAACACATGAAACCAGCTTTGTAAAAGCAAAGTGAAGTGACATTTCAATTGGTTCCTTTGGAATGTTGGAAAATTGCCATCTTTAGCATGAAAAGCAAAGATAAACTGCTGACCCCACTACCAGTGTCACAGGCCCCTCTGCTCCCAGGTGTGTGGCTTGGACCTTGAACTGAATGTCCTGATTGGAGGCAAACTTTGCAGACAGGGAAGAGGCCCCAATAACTAAGTCCTGACTTCAGGAGGTTAAGCCAGGAGGGTTCCTGTGCCCCACCCAGCTCCACTACAGGCTCACCTCCTCCAGGCCGGTGACAGAGTAGGCATGACCTCTGACCAGCCCACAGGCCATTCTTGTCTCATACTGAAACGGAACAATGGTCTGTAAAGCAATAACCAGAGAGCCCATTAGGAGCGGGGGAATAGAAGTTCTGCTGCTTGGAGGCAAAGTTCATACTAGTTCATTTCCCAGGTTCTGTGAGGACACAGACCATTCTGCTCTCTGAAAATGTGCCTCATGACCACGATCAGACCTTCACTGGCCCTTTAAGAGTGTCAAGAGACACAGCTCCAGACAAACTGGTTTCCCTGAGAAGGCTCTGTCCTGACCATCAGCGAGCAATGTGGATGGTGGGATGTGGGGTGGGTAACAACATCCCTGCCCCTCCTTTCTGGACCCCTTAGCATCCTTCAAAGGAGGAAGGGGTGGAGTTGGAGGTTGCCCTGGGCTTCGGGATCCTCCTTCCCCTGAGGCCATCCAGGGTTGACTATTCCTGGAAGAGAAAGGGGTTGAGAAAAGGAGTTAGATGACACAAATAAGTCTAGTCTTTTTCTTATTTCTTTTTTTTTGAGACAGAGTTTCACTCTTGTTGCCCAAGCTGGAGTGCAATGGCACGATCTCCACTCATTGCAACCTCCACCTCCCTAGTTCAAGCAATTCTCCTGCCTCAGCCTCCCAAGTAGCTGGGATTATAGGCATGCACCACCATGCCTGGCTAATTTTTTGTATTTTTAGTATAAACAAGGTTTCACCATGTTAGCCAGGCTGGTCTCAAACTCCTGACCTTAGGTGATCCATCTGCCTTCGCCTCCCAAAATGCTGGGATTACTGGTGTGAGCTACCATGCCCAGCCAAGTCTAGCATTTTTCTTTACATCCCCTCACCTCCTCCACAACCACCTAGAACCTAATATTCAAGCAATCAAGAGTCCTAGTGCCCAGGGAGAGAATTCTGAGAAGGCCGGAGGAGATCCCTGCTCAGACATGACTGTGCCTAAGGGGTAGCTCTTCCATTTGCAGAAATTTCCAGGTTGCAGCCATGGGGGATCCTTGGCAGAAGGGTAAGATCGCTAAAGTCCCACAAGCCCTAGATAGGCTCTGTGGCTTCCGTGTGCTTACTAACAGCTTTAAAAGGAGCTTCCAGAATCCTTGCTAGGCTGCGGAATTCCTACAGCCTTTTTCAGGGTGAGGGGTCTGGGTGGAGCCAGGGCTTTTGGCATCTCAGCGTCTCCCGGATTTCAGTCCTCATGGTCCAGATCATGCTGAATAGACCGAGATGGGTCGGGAAATGCATTAATCCTTAGTTCTAGACCTGGGAAGCTGCTTGAAATGACTCTCTGCCATTACCTAAGCATATCATTCAACCCAGCAATTCTACTGCTGGGAATCTGTCCTACGGAAGTCACCATGGATGTATACAAAGATGTATCTATTGGGATGTTTATTATAGCATTTTAGAATAGTAGCAAAACAAAACAAATAAAACCCCTCAACTTTCCAGTAATAGGGTATTGAGTAAATATATCTGTGTGTTTGAATATTGTGCAGCTACTAAAAAAATGTTATAGGAGAAAACTTTTGGCAGCATATCAAATGAGGCTGGGCACAGTGGCTCACTTGAGGTCAGGAGTTTGAGACCAGCCTGGCCAACATGGTGAAACCCATCTCTACTAAAAATACAAAAATTAGCCAGGTGTGGTGGTGTGTGCCTGTAATCCCAGCTTTGTTAGGAGGCTGAGGCAGAAGAACTGCTTTAAACTGAAGGCAGAGGTTGCAGTGAGCCAAGATAGCACCACTGGGCAACAGTGAGATTTTGTCTCAAAAAAAAAAAAAAAAGATTAAACCAACTAAAAAAGAGCAGGCTGCAAAGAGGTACATACAGTATGACAATATTTAAAAAACAAAAAGATAGATTCAGTGTGTGCAGAGAAAAATCCTGGAAGGACATATGTCAGATGTTAAGAGTGATTATAAGGGGAAAATGTAAGTGAAATTTTCCTTTGTGTTTTTCTGTATGGCTCAGTACTCTCCAGTGAGCAGGTATAACTTATGATAGTACTAGAATATATACTCTACAAGGGGTAGACCTTGCTTTTTCCACAAATACTAAAAAAGGAGGAGAGAATTTGCTTAGTTTGCTAGAGGAGTGCCTAGAGCATAGTAGGAGCTCAAAAACAAGTGTTGAATGAATAAACAAATACATTAGAAGAAGAAAAACATTTTAAAATAAGTCTTTCTGCTATTTCTGTCTGATAGTTCGTTAATGAGAAGAACTGCCTGGACCATGGAATACACAGAAACTGCAGCAGAGACTCCCTCCAAAATCCTGACTCTTGCACTTCCTCATGAGTCTTGGCTGAGCAAATTATTTCAATCCAGACCCTTGGGAGGTACCAGGTGGGGGTCTGTGGCTAAGGCCCTGGCTGCTGAAGGGAGTCTGACATCAACAGGCGGGGTCACGTAGGTTGGAGGGATGGTCAATTCTGATATTTGGAGGCATACAAACCCGGGTCGGCCTTTCATCTGAGTCTCTGGGGTCGAGGTCTGAGTCCCTGAGCAGCGAGTTATCCATATTCCTCACCATCCGTGCAATCAATTCCCCCATGTTCAGACCAGAAGGAGAGGTTCCATAGGTCATGTTTGTGCCATCCTGAGGCCCAACAGAGAGAGTAGGGAACAACCCAGGCAAGGGAGAGAACAATCACAGAAGGGTGGAAAGGGAAGGAGAGAGGAGGAAGAGATGGGACCGACAAAGGGGAAAAGGAGAGATCAACAGAGCATGAATGGAGGAAAGACGGAGAAAAGTGATACAGAAAAAGTTCATCTATGGGGTTGTATGCTAACTGATATTCCCATCTGTCCACTGGGTGTGTTGGGAGAGGAAGGGCCAGAAATTCAGCTTGGGTCCCATTCTCCCCAATAGAAACCACTAAGACTATCATATTACTATACTGAGCAGCCTCAGGGAAGGTATGCCCCTTGAAGGAGGCCTGGCTATGGGCAGCCATCTCCCTACCCTTGGCTCCTGTTCACAGCATTTCTTTGCACTGAAAGGGGCTGCAGGCTTAGCTTCTCCCAGGTAACAACACAAAGCCCACATCCCGAGTGGGGGGAGGGTATGGTGAAACCCCAGTGACTGGGAGGATTTCTTAGGGAAATGGTGGACTTAGGTCCACAGCCAAGTATTTGGCCAGCTTAATAGGGAGTGTGCTGAGACTGAGGAGCACCAGCAAGGGAGGCCTTCACTGACACAGACCTCTCGACCAATTTCCACTGACATTCCAGGGCTTGGAATGTCCTTGATCAGTGTTTTTATTGAAAATCCCCAAGAACTATTCTCCCTTGAGAAATTCCCAGTCTTCAAAGTTGAGAGCCAGTTTCTGCTTCCTCAAACAAAACATTCGCTCTGTCCCACATAAAAGCTCTATACTGCCCTTCATTGGGTAAAAGGCTTCCTGACACTTGGAGCTCCCTGCCCTGTTCCTGACACCCCAGACTTACATCAATGGAGCAGCCCATGAGAGATCCTCTCTCAATGGCTTTCTTCATGATCTTGTACATGTCGCTAGGAGCATCCCTGATCTCAAAAAACTCCGTCACCCCTCCTGTGAAGTCCTCCATGGCCTCTGTGGTGTTCCCACCTTTCAGAGCTTCATAGGAACCATGGAGCCTTAGAGAGAGGATGGAGACCAAATATGGGGAGAGGGGTGTCACAGAGTTCCAGGAAACAAAACCTAGGTACCACTGCCACCAGAACTTTACCTCTTCGTGCTA